CAGCCTGCAGCGGCGGCAGCCAGATCGGCGTCACAGGGGCTTCCCCAACCTCACCCTCCAATGGGCTCCCCCGGGGTCCCCGCCGCGCTAGGTGGGACCTCCCCAACCGCCCTCACCCCGAAGGGGCTTCACCGCCGCGCGTGCGCATGCGCAACGGCAGCGGGAGGGGCACGAGGGCTCCCCAGCCGCCTCCGCTCAGTGGGCTTGGGGCCCCGGCTCTCACCGCTGCGTGACCTCGGCGAACTGGGCGCGCTGGAAGTCAGTCGCCAGGCGGCGGATCTCCTCCCAGGCGCCCGCCATAGTTGTCCCGGAGCCGCCGCAGCCTCACGTCAGCGTCGCGACGGGCCGCGCGCGGGGACAAACGACGTCGGCGCCTGCGCGCTCCGGCTGCAGTGTCTCCTGGCGGGGCGGGGGAGAGGGGGATGTTCCAGTGAGGGGTGAGCGGGAGCAGGGCTCCGCGCACGCGCAAAGAGATTTCCTCAAAAGGGCGGCGCTGGGGTCGCGTTGTACAGCTGTAGAAGTGCTAACGCTGGGTTCGTTTACACGGTTACTAATGTGCAGTGCTTACTGCAAGTTTACTTAGTCCTTGTTTAATGACGTGTTAACTGAATGCACAGTAACTATAGTTACTGCATGGTAGCTGGTGCATGTCTTTTTTACCGATTTACTGCACAATAGCGTATTAGCACAGTTTTTGCCCAGCAAGCTACTGCGTAGCGTTATTTAGGCCACTGTGCATTCATGGCCGGACACAGGCATGGGCGAACCAGGCGGCAGCCCAGGGCCCAGACAAGAAGGGGGTCCAAAATAGATATTATTATTATTAATAATATTACCCTGGCAAGGGGGGGGGGTTGATACTAAAAGTTTGTCCGGGGCTGCCAGGAGTCTAGGTACGGTCCTGTCTGCACGCATGTTGACACCCCCACTGTGTCCTAAGACAAAATGAAAAATAATCAACAAAAGAAGCCCTCTCCACTATAGTCATATTGTACTGAGCCCGTCTAAAATCGTGTTACAGACAATGCTCTTGAGCAGTGCTATAGCCTGGGATGCCTGGAGCTACTTTGCAGGCTGCTATGCAATGTTAATCACAATAAGTTGGCTGGCACCATTTGCAGTGGCCAGCTGTAGCCTTATAGACGCAAGGAAATCCCACCTGTGTTCTGATGGCCTGAGTCCTACTTTGAGTTTTAGTTTTTACCATTTCCTTAGTTTGTCAGGTGAATCACCACCCTGCCCTATGCCTGGGTGAAGGTGGCAACCTACGGCACTCTGCTCATAAGATAATAAAAAGGCATACATCTGACTCACGAGAAAACAAATTTACATTGAGGGAGGCATCCACTCACTAGACATGCATGAGTGTGGCCGTGGGCAGATCAAGAATTTTGAAATGGGAGGTTGGGATGGGCAGCTGCATAGTCACGTGCAAAACAACACCTATTTTTCTCCAGCTGGAAGGTAGAAGCTTTTGGCTGTACTGTTCTGTTTAAGAGTGAAACTAAAACAAATATAACTTCACTGGAATGAGTTAAGAATAATGTGCAGGGCTGGGAAATCGGAATTTTGTATTCCAGCAGGTGCCCTCACCAGCTCAGAGGCTCCAGATGCACCTCACCCCATCCCCCCATAGTTTCAGCTTAGTTCCTTAGTACCTAGGCTCAGGAGGGAACCCAGGTGTCTGGGACCATGAAAAAGTGGAGCTGCCAACTTGTTCTGGACAGCACACTGCACTACACAGTGGAAGCGGGTGCAACCACACCACTGCAGTCCCTGGATCCACCCCAGCCTCATATGTTAATTTGTGTCTGCATTAAGTGACAAATAGTGTTTCAGACAAGCTTAGCTAGCCAACTTGCTGTAGCTAACTAACTTTTTAAGCCTGTTCCTTTAGTAGAGGCCAGTCTGGGAACAGATAGGCTGATAGGGAATATTGATCACTGGAGTGCTTCTTGTAAGCAGAACATCGGTCGGAGAAACACTCTGCCTGCAGTGCAAATCAGACATAGTGATGGGGGCCAGAGTGACACTATTCCCAAATACATGCAGCTTTTTCCATTATAACATTTGTCACTTTGGAAGCAGTTTATATTGTAAAAATGTCACTTTTAATTCCATGCTGACACAGCTATTGCAGCATAGCTCCAGTAGTGTAAATGCACTGCGTTCTGCCAGTGAAGTTCTGTGTGCAGAGGAACATGACATCTTGAACAGGGAGAAGAAAGGCTGTGGAAGGATTGTAGCCACTTGCATGAAATTTAGAGAGGAAAACTAGTAGGAAGAAGAGTGTGGAGGAGGGACAAGGAAGTAAATCTGTGTGCATCTGGCTAGAAATTTAGCAGCTGTTGCACCATTTCTGAAAATAGTTATTTTGACAAGGAGAAAATTCCATTCTACATGCATGGAGTCCTCCTGTGGTAACATACATCAGAAAATGGGGGAAGAAACAGGGATATCAAATAAACAGTATCAGTATATAGTATTGACAATCCCTGGCAGTCGAGGATGATTGTCTTTCATGCTTTATCTGTGGGTCCAAAGATGGCTGACGAGGCTGATCTGGGATTGACAGACTCTGCTGCGATGCGGGCACATGTTTCCATGTGGAGTGGGTGGCTCTGGATTCTTGATCTGTAAATTCTGGATTGTACTGTTGTGTTAGGACTAACAACCACTTTTCTTTTTAAGAATAAGTACCTTTTTCCTTGTGGATCTGTACGCACGGCTATACAAATGGACACACGTTACACAAATGACCTGTGGCCCCTGGAGTTTTAACACCTAAATCTTATTAGAATAATCATAGGTATATTGACTGATTAAATTAAGGTCAAGTCAGAGGTAGATCTGCTTTAACAATAAAGAAAAACCTTCTGTGGTTAAAAAAATTGTCACCAGCAATTTGTCTTTTTTTTCTCACATACATACAGAATCCATTTGCAGTGAATTCAACTCCAATATTATTAGAGGCTTTTTGAGAACTAAGTAGGTACATAGGTAAGAATAAAGTAGGTACATAGGTAAGAATAAAATTTATTGCATTCATATTTCATTTCAGAGCTTTACTGGCTCCAGTCACGATTCTCACAAAAATTGCCTTGTTCCATCGTTTCAGACAGTATACCCTCAGTGTTAAAAATTATATGGGCTTAATGATGGCAATTGATTGCAGACTCTTTACCTTAATATTATAATATGGATTGATAGTTGTATTTCACTAACACAAAACACAATGAATGCAAGTTTGTATGAGGCCAACATATACAATCCTATTGAATTCACTTTGGGAGCATCAATTCCCTTGTCTTAATTAGGAACAATAAAAGAAAATGATGGGGATATTAGGGCTGTCAAAATGAATCAGTGCTGCAGGTGCAACATAAAATACATTATAAAGTTTCATATTATAAAATCCAGACGTGTTCACACTCACAATTCTGAATTCTACTTCCAAAGGAATTAAAAGTTCTAGTTCATCAACTGATCGTGGTTGAAGGAACGTCAATTCCACTGATGATGTTCTGCAGTATTAAGGCATTATTCATTCGCCCAATTCTTGAAGAATTTTATAGTGGTGCTGGCTGCCAACAAATGGTCATCAGAAATTTCTAGCAGAATTAGGTATCTTTGTGTAAAGACTTAAAAAGGTCATTGCAGCTGTTACAGAATTGAGAGTAGGTGACAGGTACTGTTGAATACCACACATATTTGTCCAGTGCTATATTTCCCTAACTTTTGGTACCTGGTGTGCGGGCCCTCTCCCGATCCCGCCTGGGTCGCCATGTGCGAGTTCTCTCCCGATCCCATCTGGGTCGCCATGTGCGAGCCGGGGGCGAGCCGAGCCCGTCTTTGTGCACGCAGGGTGTGGCCAGCAGCCCAGGCACGTGGGGTTGGAGAAAACCGCGGCGCGGTATGGTACGCTCGAGCTAGAATCAGTCACGGAGGCGTAATGGTTGATTGAAAAGATTATTTACTTACACCCAAGGTGGTCGCGGTGTAGGCTGGTCAGCTTTCCAGGCACGGCTGGAGCTGTTAAGACTCCGTGGGTTCGACAATTGGGTCCTTAGGATAGGGATACGTCTGGACTGCGATCGGCAACGGGGAGAGGCTAGAGGTTATGTGCCTCGGAGTTGTTAAGGCTCCGAGGGTTCGGTAAATAGGTCCCCCGGAGTTGTTGAAGCTCTGTGGGTTCAACAAATTAAACCTCTGTTGCCCTCTTAAGGAAAAAGCTGGGTTCGTAGGGATCAGCAGCGCTTAGAAATCCTCACGCTCCTTTCCCGAACTCCACGTGCTTTCTCTCTCTCCGACTTGGGCGGAAACTACCCAAGCCTTTTGTACGGCTAGCAAGCCAATAGCTAGCCGCCACGTATGCCTACATTTAGAACCGGCCAGTAATGTGGCACAAATCCAAATACAAATGGCAGGAACTCCTTTGCATCGTGCATCACTATAATGCAAAAGGAATGCACTATGCAAAGAAAGCTACAGAACTGGCGGGAAAAACTCCTGCATGCGGGTTCTCAATTGCAACAGAACACTCCACCGTGCAAAAGAGCTGCAATTTGGTGGGAACATGATTTAGCGATGCCGAAGCACACACAAACAAGAAAACCACAACTTTGGGTTGTGACACCTGGCACGCACCTTATTTCTGGATTAAAATTGGTACACTTCATTCTTATACCCAAGAGAGAGAGAGAGTCTGGATGCAACTACACATGCAATTAATGTGAAGCAATATACTCCAGAGCTGTTTGAGATGGAGTAAACTGCTCCCAGGTGCAGTGTCTACATGTGCACCTGGGATACCAGAAATTTTGCTAAGGTGTAGCAGACCTCCAGCTGACTAGGCTGACTGGGTCCAATTTATGCCTGTGGTCAGTGTCTACACAGGCGTTTCAGTGCAGTAAATTACTCAGCCATAAGATAGCATGGTGCCTGACAGTACTATCTTACAGCTGAGTTAATTAGTTTACTGCAGCCTAATACCAGCACACACGTAGACTGTGATGCTTTCCTGCAGAGCTAATTAGTGTAGTCCTCAGTAAAGTGCACATGTAGATACACCCTGTGTGTGTGTATATGTGTATTCATGTTCCATTCCCCTGCCAGAGGAAATAATACCAATACTGAGATATCCTGTTAAAAAATGACACCAAATACACCTTTAAGCAAAGGATTAGTCTCAATACAGTGGCGATGCGTAGGGGGTGCATGTGCATGCCCTGAGAGCGTTGGTTCACGTCCTATCAGGCCGTGTTCCCCACTTAGGTGATGGGCAGGGGGGCAGGCAGGAGCGCCAGTGTCCCCACCGTGAGCGCCGGCTGGAATGAAGCACTGGATGAAACAGCTGCAGCGCTCATGGAAGTGGCTGCAGCCGCTTGTAGGAGG